AAGAAGCACTTACACAAGTGGAGAAAAAAAAAAAAAAAAAGAAGAAGAAATCAAACAACAAAGAAAAACAAAACCAAACCACCTGAACCTTGAAATCGATGGGAACGGTACACACCAGAGGCTGTCCTGATGGGAGCTGGGCACACCTGAGCCTTGTTCTGAGATGGGAGCTGTGGATACCTGAGCCTTACACCACTCCCATCTCAGTGCAAGGCTCAGGGTGATGACTAGGCCAATTGGATGGGTAGTGGTGCAGCGGTCCATCGAGGCAGAGAAGAGCAAGGACAAAGGTCTGAGAGATGAGGGCAACCACTGAGAACTGGAGCATCCTGAACTTTCTGGAAGAGATACACTTGGGCAGTTAAGCATCAAGCAGGCTGTTATGATGCAAGTCAACGGCCTTGCACAAAAGGAGCCTCACAGTCCTGTAATCCGAGTGAACCCAATGACTTCCTCAGCATCTCATTAAGTACCTGGTCCGAAAACCCCATTTCTTCCTTGCAAAAAAGAACAGCACCTCATTTGTAAGTTTGTTGCTTTCATACTTTGACAAGATCTAACTAGCAGGGAGCTCATTAATTTCACTGTTTTTAAACTTTAAAACAGAGTAAAAACACTGGCTTCCACAAAAAGCCTTCTTGGTATGAACTGACATTCCCTGAAAAGGCCACATCTCTGTCACACATCTACAAACTGACCAGAACTTTGTCATTATGGAGACTTGCAAGGCTGCAGACAGAATGATCTCGGGCTATCTTGAATTCCTCTAGTAACTGTTTAGCACACCTCCACCACATCTGACACCCTTTTGCCAATCAGGTAACACCTTTGGAATGTACTAACTTAGGAGATCGGATCATTATTGTACCCTAAAGCCAACAAAGCCATCAGGGTAGCATCTGATTTGGCAACGGCTTCCTCCCACTATAACCCATCTGTCTAAGGTCCCACCAGTGTATGAGGGGACTGCATTTGTGACTGACTTGTTCTGTGACCATAAAAGCTTATGCCATAACCTTTATAGCAGTACGTGTCCTTCAGAGTAACCTGAATCCACGTTCCCGGGTCACATTCACTTAGATTTGACGAAGAATAAATTTCTCATCTTTCTTTTGGCACAAGAGCTGTGTGTTTTGCATTGTTATGGCCTTTCTTAGAAGAATGGGAGGGGTGTGTGTATGTGTGTGTATATACAATCTTCCACTAAAATTCCTTTTTATGAATTCTTCCGCCACAGATTAAGTCAAAGAAGTATTTTTCGAGCAGGGAAGAAAGTATGGAAGACACAAAGACAACAAACCTTACCAAAAAAAAAAAAAAAAAAAAATTCAGATTGATGGCTCCAATCTGACAATGAGTTAAGGAGTGATGGAAAGATTACATAAATCTTCAATTGGTTCCGTCCTTGTTTCCAACTCATACATAGCCTCTTAGCTATTAAAAATGATTTCCTTAGTACAACCGTTAACTTTGAGGAAAAAGGGACAGTAATTTTGCCATGTTTAAGGAGCCCCCGCTATAAACAGCTCTGGTTCCAAGGACAAGCGACTCATTGAGATCACTGCTTTTCTCTATCTGCCAACTGCTTTAGTTACAAAGAACCTCTCCAGGGAAATGTCACCACTAGACTATGTCTAGCCTTCTACAGTGAGGGTTCAGGCAAAGATGTTAGGCCTCAAGGATGTCCCAAACCTCCACTGCAGCTCAAGGCTACCAGTTTTAAGAGGCTCTCTATGCCTTGTTAAGTTGGCTGAATAGAGATCCACAAATGAAGTAAAGAAAAATAAGTTACCACCTTAGAATCTTACTGTAGGGTAAACACCTGGTTTACCGTGACTGTTCTGATCCCGAAGCCGTCGCACACAGCCAAAACTGCAGCAGAACTGTAGGGTCAGATGAAATGTGGTGCAGCCCAGGGTTCTCTCTCTCACGGGACCTCAGGAGCACTGTTCAGCCTTCCAAGTCTAAACTTCCTTCTCAGGAAAGCAAGGATCCACACATTCCAGTTAGGTAAGGACTAAAAGTGACACTAAAACAAAGTTCTAGCTATGTGTGTTAGACTTAATACTACAAATGGATTTTGAGTGATCATTTATTTCAAGGATCTAAAATTTCAAATCTCGGAGCAGTTCATTTAAAAGCAACTCACTCCATCTACCATATTCTCAGATTTTTAAAATTATTTATGTGCATTCATGTGCCTGCATGAATGTATGCAGTCCGTGTGTGTGTGTGTCCCCTAAATAACCAGGGAGTATATCAGATCCTCTGGAATTGAAATTACATGTCATTGTGAGCAGCCTGACATGGGTGCCGGGAACCACTCAGATCACCTAGAAGAGTTAGCAAGCGCCCTTAACCATCTCTCCTAACATCTACTTCCTTAGGGAATGTTGCTGCTTATGTCACCATATTGATGACATCACAGGAACCCAATTCAACTTTCCTGCCACAAAACTGTTCTTAAGCTTGGTACTGACTTAATGTGAACAACATAGACAACTTTTTAAAAGCCTGTGAATGAGTACCATTACGTGCCATACACCATCAGGGTATAGCTCTTTCTTCAAATGACGACAACTGTAACACAGTGATCTGACACCATTACTTTGGTGTCAAGATGTTATTACAATTGACTCTGCCCTAACAGTTCCCCTTGTTTTCGGTGTTATCACAAAGGCCAAGTGGCTAGGGTCCCAAACATGCACACAAAGTTTGCCGTTTGTTAAACATTTGTCAGACACCTTTAAGGTGGTTAATTCCAGCAGCTGCGGCATGGGTGCAAATTAGTCATTATGTAAATGAGCAACTAACAATGACCTGGAATCAGGGGTGAGGTCATGAAGTCAAACTGTAGGTGAACTTTCAGTTAGAGAATACGGCTCTGAGGAATGAAACCACATTTCAGACGAAAGCACCCAGCTCCCCTGCTTTCCTCTCCGGTGAGTATGGTCTTAGGAAGCATGTGCTCTGAAGAAGTAAGAGAAAGCCCTTTTACATTTCATGATTGGTTTAATCAGGTAATTCCAGGGGAGGGGCAATCTCTGAAACAAACTGTCTACCATCTGGTGCATCCAATTACATGGCATGGTGGAACAAAAGCAGTTACAAACTCATATCTGCACATTTACACTGTATACTCACAACTCTCAAGTTAGTTCACTCTATGTGGGGAGATGCATGAGCAGAGGAGTTGAGCAGGCTTCCAATGCTCACTAGGAAGAATGCAGTCAGGATCCTAGTGGGGTAATACACAAGTGAGGCACTTCTGAGGTCAGGAGAACAGAAAGCAAAACGGACTACACACTGCAAATGTTCACACAAAAACTTGCGCTTCTTCAATACAAAGGCTTTCGATTAGATTACTCTTGAAAATTTTCAACAATTTAACAACCTTTGCAATTTTAGCTTTTGGGGTAACAATGGATAACATTAGTGCATCAAAGCAACTGAAAGGTTTCTAGTTGCCCATCTGCTGGGCAACTGGCACTGTAAAGCCCCTTGTAATTCTCCTTCCCTCCCTGCCTTTATTTTGAGTTGTATAAATCACCTCTGCTTGTCTGTGTCGACATGTTTTAAACTTTTTTTTAGTTTGACTCACCATAAAACACCTATGGCTCCATTACAATTTATAACAACTTTCTAGTGTTTCCTGTAATATTCAGAAATGTAATTCTGGAAGTAAAAATCAAGAGTAAGAGCAACATTTAGTGATGAGTTGGTTTTATCGGTTAACTAAAGATCTCCCGAGTTATTTTTCAGAAAAAGGTTACACTTGCTCAATGCACTGTTGGACTACAGTTAAAATTACTTTAAAACACATTAATCCAAGTTACATATTGCAAATATAATCAGACACTCGATTTCAACACAAGATCCATACAATTCTCTACATTGCCCATTTAAAGGAAAGTACATGTTTTCTGCAATCTGAAGACTGACATGGCATTAAGAAACACCTGTGTGCCACTTAGTTAAGGGAGAGGAAAAGCAAGACTCGCCCAAAGAATTAGATGGCACTATACACATCAAAGTGCATTTGTATTATTTCAGAAGCTCATTTTAGGCACTGCTGAATAACCAATGAAAATAGGTAGTTTCAAGTTTTTCCCTTTAAATTTTAAGCCCTGCCTCATCATCAACATCTACTCAGAAACACACACTCTCTGGAGTTGTCATGATAAAATACAGAAAATTATGTTTATTTTTTTTAAAAAATTCTCCCTGACTGGCACTGGGAAGAAGACAGGAATACCATTTTGGTAATGGCTTCTGAGTTAAAGGAACTGGTTGCACAAATGCTTCAGTACTTATGTAAGTTTGACTGCCAGTTCCGAGTTTCAATAAATATTTTAAAACAGAATATGTAAGGAAAAAAGTGCTTAAAAATCTTTCAGCAATCAAAAACTGCATTTGAGGAAAGATTTCTTTACATTCCTTTGAGCTGTTCCTTACTGGTTTCTCTGGTGGGCAGTGGCCACCCCCTGGACAGCCCTTCCTCAATTGTTAATGGCAGACACCCTCTCCATCTCTCAGCGCGGGTCTAAAGTCATCCAGCAGGTGGCACTGGAACTCCACATGAGCTCCTGCTCAAGAAAGAAAGGCTGCTTCTTCCTCTTAAGCCAAGAGGGCCACTTGAGAACTAGAGATTCTGAGCAAACAAGCCCATCAGGCAGAGAATTCTTTCTGGTTGTGCATTCAAATGATTTCGTTTTCAGTATTTACTTTTACTTTACCAGTTTTGTTGAGCCATCTGCTTAAACTTTAGACAAAAGAGAAGGTTTAAAGAAAACCCTTAATGGCAGTGCCAAATCTATACAGCGAACAAGAAATCTTTCCTGAATCCACCTGCACAGCCTTGGGGATCAGATTAAACTGTCCGTATGATTCACAAAGGGACTCGATAACATTACATCCTCAGATACTTTTCTGGACCGGTTTAAATTCATGTGTGCTAATTACAAAGATCCAAGGTAGGAAAAAAAAAAAGAAAATAAAAATAATTTCATTACCATAGTTTTTAATGAAGAGAAATGTTTAAAATTGTAAAGGAAAAAATGGGAACGGGATGGCAAAATCTTAGCAGCAAAGTGGTTAAACAAACTGAAAATATTAATGCACAAACATTAAAATATTAAAGCATGTATACTGCGTATAAAATACAGTACAGAACCAGGAGATGCACTGTAGTGACTAGTGCTTAACAGAAAAGAAAGATTAAACTTGTTCTTCCCAGAAGTATATACACAGTTCATTTCCACGGCATTTCCTATGTAGCCAGCAAGTTATTTTCTTCAGTTATTCACACCTTGCTCCAACCTGAATTATAAACCCAGAACTTACAAATATGAATAATCATTCACAAGGAAAACCAGTATTTCTATTTCAACAATAAAAAGGAATTTTGAAAGTTAACAGTCTGCTCTAGGAAACCAAGTTTATCTGAGAACGTCAGGGGTGAAGATCATCTGTGTAGCAGCCTCCAAATATAGAAACAGTAAAAATAAGACTTAAAATTGCTGCTACAGTGTCCGGTTTTGGATTTTGTTCATCCAATTGATTTTTAGTACAAAACTAGAAATAGCCTCTTCTTCATAACATCTATAGTTATCAATATATTTTTCTTCTTTTCAATGTGAAATAATACTTCAAGATGATCTATATACATAATGTTGTCAGTTCAAGCTGTCATATAAATATAAATGCTTTCTTAAAAAAAAAAAGTATTTTACAGACAGATAGTGTTATATATACATTGTTCAGTTTGACCTGGGGCAAAAGAAGAAAGCTAACGCAAGCTTAAGTGTGACACACAGAATGAACGCTACGGAAATGACACTGAAAACCTGTAGAATGAATTTCAAATGGTAGTGTGATTTTCATTTTCTATCACATCAGAAACTTTAAGCCGTTTAGAAAAACAAACAGACAAACAACAACAAAAACCCGGCACACTGCTTAACTTTCCTCCCTAAAGAAGTATTTTTGAAAGAATCCCTCACATGGTTAGTTTTACTGTAACATTAAAAAAAAAAAAAAAAAAAAAAAAAGGCCATTTAGGCAATTTGACCCCAAAGGACTTTAAAACTGTTTGTTGGATCATACCACTTTGTAAATCAAACATCTCCTAATACAAATGCTTTGTGACAGGAATGTGATGTACAAGATCTTCCGTTCACAATGGCAGATTAAATACTTTCCTGGGAGAGTTCTGCATACATTTTAATGTAAAGTAACTTTGCTCCTGGCTAGCTGAAATGACATAAAATGCAACTGAGAAGTGTTATATTGTTGCGTGAGTAACAAGCACAGAGGATTAAGCGCGGAAAAATCAGTGAGACAGCTGTGCACGTTCCGGCTTAGCAGAACGGGAAGCCGAGACCTCAGGAGGAGACTGTCCCACACTAACTGTCCAGTTAACGCTTCTGCCTTGTAAAACCTTTATAAATGCAGTTAAGCTTTTTGAAGGAGGAAACTCTGAAAGAAAACAACTTGCTGGTTGAATACCACAAAACAAAACAACTAAACCCCTTCTCTTTCTTCTATGTTTACTCAGTCTCTTCATATAAAAATAAGTGTTACGTTTCCATCAGAACATTAGACAATTACATCTGTGCTTAAAAAAAAAAAAGGTTGGTCACTCAAGGCTATTATAGAGTATTTTAAAGATTTTAGATTTCCAGAATGTACAGATATAACTCAATATAAACTGCAGCCAAAGAGAAGTGAGGATGAACTTACCAAATCTTTCACATGGATACAAACGTTATTAACTAGATGAGTTAAATACTCAAAATATATGGAATGTGGCGGTAGACGGGTGCACATCTACCTCAGAGCTAGAAGGGCAAGAAAAGTTTAATATGCCATAGTTCGTACCTTACATTTAGTTAAATATAAACATTTGTTATTTATACATAAAACTGCTTTCAAAAAACAACTAATGATTTAGTTGCACTTGTTTTATCTCTTTTAGTTTCCCAAGTATTAACTTTTCTGTACTGAAATCACTGTCCTTTAGTGCACTTTTTAGTTAATGTCCTAAAGAATTCAAATCTTTAAAAAGTCCCATCACCTAGTGCATAAATATAAAAATGCCAAAATTAATCCCTTTTAGTTGGATCATATTCTATGTTGACCTTTTGTAGTCAATAACCAGAAATGACTTCCTTCTGTAAATGCTCTATGATCTGTCCCAGAACATGCCATGCACTCAGGGAAGACATCAGGCATGGCTAGCATCTGTAAATCTCAACAACTGACGAGTTCTGCTTCCTCCACGCGTGGCCCCAATGATACCAGGCAAGATTCCATACTGCTTGCCAACAGCTTCCACAAATCCAAGTTAGCTAACTCCTGGAGATGAAGATTTTAAGCTCATGCCAGCCCTGCACGGCTTCACCCAGCAGCCTTATGCTTCCCGCCGCAGCACCCACACGCCTCACCACAGCGATGGCACATTCTCAAAGGGACGTAGCAGCACATACATGGTACAATGAAGGACAGAGCTACCAGGGCTAACCACCTTAGGCAGAACTTGTCATCGCTAGTGTCACATGAACAAGGGTCAGAAAAGTCTCCCTCTGAGTCTGACATACAATGATACAGCATGCTCTCGGCACAGAGCATGCAACTAACTTGGTATATGCATCTTTTGACAGGATCTGGGGCATCCTGGCATTTCCCCCTGCCATTTTCTTCATGATTAAACCTTTCCTGGCAGTACACGCAGCGGGAACGCTCCCCATCCTCTTTTCTTCGTTTTGACTTAAATTTTAATGAGGGAGGCTGTGTCTTAAATACCACAGAGTCTTTCAGGGAACTTAACTTAGTCTCATCTCCACAGTGGTAGAGATAGTCTGATTTTTTACAGTCTTGTTTAGAAAATGGAACATTGGAGTCAGTATCATCTCTCTCCAAGTCATTTTTCCACATGTCTGGATGTCTGTAGTCTGCATACCGACGTATCAAGATATCTCGAGGATTTATTCTGACAATCTCATCCTCATCTTGAAAGCTGACATGTCTGATTGACTTCAAGGGGACCTAGACAAGATAAAAATTGCCGTAAGGACTCTGGTGGTTAATTTTATGTCAATTTGGTGGAGCGATCCTACCTAGGGATCCATTCAAGGAGCTCCTTGACAAAGTTTTGAATGAGAGCAACCTGACAGCTGGCACATCCAATCAGACGACACCTATAACAAAAACTATTATCTCCCTATGGCAAGATGAAGTTCCGCCAGCAGGGTGCCTTTGGATTCAGGCTCCAGTTTTTCCCTTATTTCCATCCTAATATCTTATCCTGCATATTTCAGACTTTTATTTCTCTCCAGTACTGGAGATTAAACCTAGACCCTTGTGCCTGCTAGGCAAACAGTAAGCTACACTAACTGTTAGAAAGTTAGCTACACTAACTAGCTCTCTTTGCACTTTGTCTTTTGAAAACAACCTCACTGTGCTGTCTAGGCTGGTCTTGTTCTTTCATTCTTCTTGCCTCAGCCTCTTGAGTTCTGTACTTATAGGTCTGTGCCACAAGACCGGGACCAGATTTTGGATCTGTATCCCATTACTACTACAGAGCCAGTTCCTTAAAACAGAAGCTCTACCTACTTATCCCACTGGCTCTGCTTCATAGATTTTAGTGTCAAGAAACTAGGTGCCACTGTAATATCTTTTAAAATGTATAAATGGGATTTTTGACAAAAAAAAGTGTTTTATGAGAAATTACTGGTAGAAATATGGCCTATCAGGTCCTCCTGGTAAGGACTCAGGCTGAAACTAGAACACACTACTGGACACTGGAAGAAAAGAAAATATAAGTGACAAGATCAATCATGTTTGGTACACTTGGAAGATAGAACTTGGAATGCAATGATATTCAGCAGAAGTACTAAAAGTGTGGCACAACTTTCTTCTTGCTTATAATACTGTGTGTGTGTGTGTGTGTGTGTTTGTGTGTATACATGTACACACATACATAAACTGAAGGGCTAGCTAAACAAAGTGAAACTAGAAGAGCTGGATAATTCTAATTTACTGCCAACAACGGAGAAGTGGAGAGGCTACCAGGGCTTAGGGATGGATAAGGCAAAATGCCAACGTGGACTAAAGCAGGCAGGGCAGGATGGAAACAAAAGGCTGGCTCTCTGGGTCTCTTCAAAATATGCCAAGAGCACTGTGCGGCTACAGGCATACCCCCAATCCTCCCAGTAATGAGGCCTGACTCTAAAGATCGGATTGAGAGGTCTTCCTGCAGCACTTTAAGAGGGAAGGCTCATTTGTTTCAGCAGACCATGCTGTGGTATTCTAAGATTTTGATGGCAGTGACATCACATAGGGGTGAAGTACAGCATGGAAGAGCACCAACGCAAGAGAGCCAAAAGGCCAAATACAAAACCAAAGGTGCTTAATTCCACGCCCTAGAACCGAAGGAAATCCTTATTAGGTTTTGGTCTTCCTTAGGATGAACTATAACATTTCAGTCTCTCACTGCAACGGGACTACTTCTACTCCATGCTTTCCTAATGTTGTACTCTAGAAGCTATCTTCTGTCTGGTTCCAGATGTTCACAGCTACAGAGGAACTTTGTCTCAAGATGAATCATTCCTCAGGGGTCACCCACACTTTGGTGAGATGACAGCTCAAGACTTGGGACTCAGAGCAGATGTTGGAGTGGGACAAGCCTCTGGGACTCTTGGAGGCAGGTGAAGGATGCATGCACTAAATTAAAACCTGCAGTTTCTGTTTTTTCCTATCTGATGATGCAGATTCAACAGCCACTCAGATTTAATGGAGTTGAGGTATCCAGGTGCAGCAGACACATACTGAATGAGTCTCATGAACATTTCATCCACAGGGATGCTGAACTAGGACGAGGAGATAAATGAACATTACTTACCCTATTTTGGGACTTCAGGCTCCCACATTCCTTAGATATTTGCCGCTGAACATATTCCATACTTCGGCTCTGAATGTCTAGGCCTTGTTGACTGAATGGTATCTAAAATTCCAATTTCTTTATTAGGTGACAGCAGTATAAATTTCTTACTTTTAACAAAACTAAGTACAACATACATTTCAAGCCTTTGCACCTCATAGGTTTAAGTTATGTCTAAGCCCCCCCCCACACACACACATAAATACCAAAGAGTCCTCTTTTAATAAAAGGAGAGCGGGTCAGGGGCTAGAGAGATGGCTCAGTGGTTAAGGGCACTTGCTATAAGAGTAGCAAGGGTTTGGTTCCTAGCACCCACATGATGGCTCACAACCACCTGTAATTCAGTTCCAGGGGAACCGAGCCCTTTTCTGGCCTCCACAGGCACCAAACATGCATGTAATGTGCACATAGGCAAAATATTACACATGTAAAATAAAATAAATCTCAAAAACAAAGAAAGGAAAGCCGAATCACATCCTTTCCATTTTACTCATGGAAAGAAGAAATTTGTTGTTGTGGTGGTTGTAAAAATGCTTTTTTTTGTGTGTGTATGTGTGTGGGGGGGGAGTTCACGATAGGGTTTCTCTGTATAGCCCTGGCTGTCCTGGACTCACTTTGTAGACCAGTCTGTCCTCGAACTCACAGAGCTTCGAGTGACTCTGCCTCCCCAAATGCTAGGATTACAGGTGTGTGCCACCGTACCCAGCTGTAAAAATGCATTTAAAATACAATTTAGCATGTAACGCCTTCCAACAAACAAGGGAGAAGCTGGGTATGGTGGCCATACCTGTAACTCCAGCACTTTGGAGGCTACAGAAGGAGGACCCCTGGAACTTAAGGACAACCTGGCCTACAAATGAGAGTTCTAGCCCTGTCTGGGCTACAAAGTAAAAATCTGGAGAAAACAACAAAAAGGGGGGGGGGTGTAACACAAGCATCTGTCAGCTGCTGACTGTATATACACAACACAGCAATCCAGGAGAAGATCTGTGTGGTGAGTGCTCCTCAGCAGCAAATGTCACAACAGTGGCTGTGAGGGGTGAAGAAGCTGAGAGGGGGACAATAATCCTGATGGTTATCTGGAGTGATGGACATGCTCTGGAAATGTGTAGTGGTGTTGTACAATCTTGTAAATATATTAAAACACCAAAAGTTAAATACCTTAAAAAAGAGTAATTTTTTGATATATGAATTACGTTTTTGTTTTTTTTTTTAAATCCTAAAGGCAGTCAATGTCCTGATAGATTTCTTAGCTTGAGTTGTGAAGAACATGTGAGAACAGAAACAGACTATGGTTAAATCTTAATCAGTTTTACTTTTTATAATTTTATAGTAAAAATTAAATATACAAAAAAGTAAAGAACATAATGAATTCCCCTATCAATATTTCAGTCACTCTGTTTTCTTTTTACATTCTGATCCAAACCCTGCTATTCTTAATGAAAGTGTAATTTGAAAACTAAACAAAAACTAAAACAACAATAAACAGAGAAGCACTAGAAGGAAGTAAGAGGGAAACTTTCTGGCTTAGTAAAATGGTCTAAAGGTAAACAGTAAGTGTACACTCTTAATGGCTGGGGATACAACTCTGGGATAAAGTATTTGGTTAGCACACACAAAGCCCTGGTTTCAATCCACAGTGCTACAAGAAAACAAAACCTCAAACTTCCTGTAATATTTATTTTTTCTATGAATAGACTTTAAAAAGCAAAAATGTCCATTTTCACGTATTATCCTTATTTTACTGTCTCAGAAGTCCCATATACACAGCCCATATAAACACATAAACACTCTGGAACTATCCAAGTTAATGGATCAATAAAACAGATACTGTTCTTTCATGCTATCTGTAAGTGCAAAGACAAATGGACAAGGTTGGTCTTAAACAATGGTATTACAGGATACACTCAATTAAGTGCTGCTTTTGAAAACACTGGAAATTACATGCTATTATAATCTTTAGGATAATTATCAGCTGAAAAAAAGAGAGAAGATGCTTTTTCAAAGTTAGTGACGAGTGAGCCTTCAAAATAATTCCACTCATGTGGCTACAAAATGCCCAGGGAGTAAATCCAACATACAGTCTCTTTTCGTGAAGAAAACATAAAGAAAAACATAGGAAGAACTATATGTAAGGATTATCACATTCATGAATGGCATCAAAGTCTCCCTAAGTTAATGCACAGAGTCAAAAAAAAAATTCAAATATAAACCACAGAGGCTTTTTTTAAATTAAACTTAACAAACTGCTAAGTTAGAACTTTTGCTGTACATCAACATTTCTTACAGAGACAGGATTCTAAAATAAAGATGACAATGGTACAGGTGAAGGGATAGACAAAGGGGTAAGAGATCACATCACATCAGAGACACTAGAAACAGACCCAGACATTCAGGGAAAGTTGGTAGGTGACAGACAGAGCACTATGCACCAGTTCTCCATAGGGAATAAGGACAAGTGGAGCTCCACTACAGAAGAAAAGCTGTGTTATGGGACCAAAGAAATGAAAAAAGAAAACCACAAAACTTTCACAACAGGGAATAAAATGTTGAGTTAAGCACAGAGAGGAATATCTTAATTAAAAACAGCAAAAGCAACTCAGGTATTGCATTAAAACTTAACATTCTCATTTATTAAAACACCACAGAGAAAGAGAGAGAGAGAGAGAGAGAGAGAGAAGGGAGGGAGGGAAGGAGGAAGAGGGGGAGAGAGAGAGAGACTAGGAACCACACATAAACCTTAGAAGGCTCAGCATTCAGAGCACATAGCAAAATAACACTTAGGTTTATTACTCGGTATGAGGTTTGACCTGATAGCATGTACTTAAATAATTTATCAGCAATAACAGCTATTTCCAATTACTGGAACTTGTATTGACCAATCTACATTCCCTGGGCATAAGGCATACATTACTTACATAATCTAACTACACCTTCTTTAAACTGAAGTGACCTGATGAGGTCACACATCTGAATGTGAATTTTGCAAACTAAATAAATAAAATAAGAAAGGTAACAGCTGGAGGTTTGTTTCTGAGGATACAACCAGACCAAAACTCTTGCCAGCACCTGCCCTCATGACCGCCTCACTGTTGTCCTGAATCTAGATACACACTAGCCAACTCTGCATGGTACATGCCTTCCAATCACACAACACCAAGGAACACTGCCTGAAACACTCTGGCTTAGATCCAAGACTACTATGTGCTATGGATGGCAGTCTTTTTACTGCACACGAAAAGCTCTCTGCATTTACAGAACTGTGATGGTTTAAAATGGGCTTTATTATTCTCTTGCTATCACCCTCAGCATGTACCAGCAGTCTATCTTTAGACTGTACTGTTAGAATATCTTATTTCAAAAGTTTCTCACAAGTTTAAAAAAAAATTAAATTTTGGTGAAGGGGTAGGATATTTACCTGCAAATTTCTGAAATGGCTCTAAACATGTACTTGTGAGAAGTGGCATTCTCAGCATTGACAGTTATGAATCAAAATATGGAGCAATTCACAAACATTTCAAAAGATACCCAATGTCCTGAAGTATTAAGTACCCAGGCAGGATTTATACGTTTATGCATCAGGTATGTGCCTGTTGCCTGTAGTCTAGACTGGCACACTGCAGTCCCTGGAACTGGAGTTAAAAGCTGTGGGTCCCTGTGTGAGTTCTGAGAATAGAACTAGGGTCCTCTAGAAAAGCAACCAGTTCTCTTAACCACAGATCATTGGTTTAGTTACGTAAAACTGAATGAGTCTTATTAGTGTGTTGTCTCCAGTAAATGGTAAACTTAAATGTTGCCAAGAAGCTGTTTTAAAATAAACTTACAAACTATCACTTGTATGCCTATTTTATATCCTCATATGCTCATGGTCACACAAAAAGTTCTAGGACTGGACCAACTTGTCACTGAGTCTGTTACAGCACATCAGTCTCAAACATCCACCCACGCACTCCCGGAGAAACTCACGCATGCAAATAGCTGGAGAAAACAACTGTCAGCAATAACAAAAACCTGGCAGAAGAAAAAGAGCAAATGTAGGGAAAAAAAAAAAAAAAAGGCAGAACACTAAGCACCTAAAAAGCAACATAACAGAGGGTAAAGACAAAGGTCAGGCTGAGATGCTCCTGAACTGTGTGGTGGTTTCTTTGATGCTCTGTAATTAACATTTTGCAAACCTCTGACCATACCTCAACTCACAGACACCATCTTGCTCATGGTAAAATGACTACCATGAACTTCAAAGTAAGAAGAGCAGCTATAATGACTTGCATGTCAGTAGGCTCAACTAAGCCCTATTACTACTTTGAAATAATGTACTTATCTATGCAAACCACTTAAATAGCCCATAGAAGACTAAGTGCCAAAGAAAAACAAGGGCAGTGTCTGTAAGCATTTCTGGAGGGATGTCTCTAAACTAGCATCAGGGACATTTCTCCACAGGTCTCATTTTTACAACTGTAATCGGCATGTGTATTGCCCACCTTACTTCAGACCTTTTCAAGGACATCTACACAGTGAACCCCCTGAGAGATATAATGTTCTCTCTCTGAGGCAGGCTCGTTTAGTGCCCAGGGAAAGGAATAGGGAAGGAATAGTCAAGCCTGTTACAGTCTTGACCTCCTGAAGCTGAAGGTTCTGTTTTAATTTTTAGAATTTCATATAAACTCCTATACATATATAGATTGTTTTCTCCTCCCTTCTTCCAAATCCTTCTGTGTCCTCTGCTACCCCTATGAAATTCATGGTCTCTTATTCTTTAATTATTATTTTTACATATTCCATTTAAACTTATGACTACAACCTGCTGAGTCCCTTTTTATATTTTTCATGTCTTTAGAGCTGACTTCTTGGGATTAGATAACCCACCAGGGGCTCATTTTTGAATTCTCCTTCTCAGTACTGATTTAATTGCCCACAGCTCGTCAGCTAGGCGTGAGCCCTTGTGAGAACTCCCCTATGCATGCTGCCATGCCGATTGGTGTTCAGTTTTCCGGTCTTGCTTAGGCAGACATATTGCTGAGATTTCATAGGTGCAGCACCTTCCTCATATGTAGAAGACCCTCTCACAGTAGGTACCCTGGTTCTCTGGCTCTTTAATCTTCCATGTTTCCTGAGCCTTAATTATATGGGTTATGTTTGTACTGTAGATGTATCAACTGGAGCTAGGCACCCTATGGTCCAACTGTTCCCACATTCTCCCCAGTTGTGGTTTTCTGTCATGGTCTCTGTCTGCCGCAAAAAGAAGCTTGTTTGGTAAGGGCTGAGAGAGCTACGCTACCTGCGGGTATAAGAGTATTTAGAATTGTTAGAAATTAAACTGATTTAGGAAAGTGGCAGCTGTTGGATAGCCTCTAGTGTCTATGACCTTAACAGCTACCGGCAGTTGGCTAGGTTTAAAGTACTAGGCATGAATTCTCTCATCTTCATTGGGCCCAATGTCCAACTAGAAAGCTGATGGTTACCCACTGAATATAAGCACCATTACTGCATCTTTCAGAATATTCTAGTAATTGTGGGTATGTTACAGCTGGGTAGGTCTACTGGTTACTTTTCTCCCTTGGCTGCTTGCACAGCTTCTCTAAATACTACGAAAGCCGGTGCTCATTGAGGAGGAAGCTTTACATCTGCACATCTAACTGTAGAGAGGAAGCCCTCTGTACATTTTCCTGAGCAAACACCAACCTGGCTTTAGAGAGTAAGCCAACCAACATGAAAATGAAGCTCAGGCTATTATACTGAAAAATAAGGCTCTTTGTGTGGACAATCTTGTACTATTTGGAGGACTGTATAAACATAGAAGCTAAATTTGGTAACTACAAGTAAGTTAACACTTTAGATTTTACAGTTCAGCAGGGTAATTGTCCAATCCTTTTGAAAAGGTAGCTAAGTTTCTCTGAACAGAAAAGGATCCATTAAGCTAACTCTGTTGCAGACAACTAAATATTCAAAGCATATTAATTCCCCTGTTGAACATTTTTTTACTCACACCAAGAACTTTTTGGTGGGGGGCCCAGTTCATGATTTATTGTATGCAGAATATGTGCTAAGATGAGAATCACTGGTTCTATGATCCTCTTGGTTTAAATTTTGCATTCTGTTTTTTATGTATTATCTCTTTAAAACTCAAGTATTTGAATCTTGGAAAAGGAACTTTAGTTTCAGTTATTTTAAAAAGCAAAACGAGGCACCTGCTTGCAAACTAAGGGTCAGATATGTGGAAAATTTTCCATGGTGCCTTCCAGATTATATTCAACTATAAATGGTATGGAATCCTAACGCCATTATGCTGAATATAAGAGTGTTTTATGTGTATAAACACATCATCATCAAACCCATAATTTTGTATATTAAGCCCTTGACAAATACACGCACAGCTTTAAAGGAAACAAACTCTTAAATGTACTATCTATTAACCAAGAACTGTCTATATTAACTGAGACCTGTCTCAGTTGTCTAAAATCTTGGAGATCAGGAAAACATTGCTGTTTTAAGAGTCTAGAAATAATTTACAGACTAGAACACTGAACTATGAAGAGGTTGTAAGGCATTTACCTAACAGAGGACTTGGCTCCAAAATAATGCAATGAATATTCCTGCAAATCAGTAAGAAAAGGCCAAACAACTGTTAATGAGATGCTCTGGGTTCTTTATAATAGAATTCCTAAATGGTGATCAAACAAAGGAAAATAGTTTGCTTAACACACTAGCAATCAGGGAAATAAAACTTAAAATCACAATAAAATATTATATATTTCCACCTACTGACTACTTCAGGATAAAAGAAAAGAGATGGACTAAATACCAAGATTTCCAGGGAATGTCAACTACCTGTTGTTTCTGAGTAAAACTGGCAATCCTTGTATAACCCAGCACACAACTGTGTACCCAGGTTTGTGAAGAACACACTAGATAAGACGCCAAGGTGTTTTCCACAGTACAAAAATGTGATGATCTGGTGTGGTCTCTAGATCTTTTCCTTTGTTTTTAGTACGTGTGATTTTCTACGGTGCTCTCTGTAATGGAAACTACATGTCTCTTCCTAAAACCAACCGTGTGAGCTCTGGCCTCCCTTTGTTGAACGGTTTTCTGGAAATAGCCTCCAGCTGCTGGGAGAACAGAGCTCCTGATCTGATAGAATTAGTGCACTTGGTGTTTCCCCAACCAAATGGGAACATGGCAAGAAGGCAGCCATTGGCCAAATAGGAAAAAAAAGGCCCTTACACAGCCAGCCTCACTCCCTGTAACTCTGGCTTTTAGTGCACGGAGCCTAAGACAAAGCAGGCAAGCAGCCCTGCTGCTTGAGCTGCCAGCTGTGGTGTCTCATCCGAGCAGCCTGAGCTAAGACTCCTTCCCTGTCCGCAGCGTTCATCCTCCACATTGCCATGTTCTTTTACCGAGTATCACACTAACTTGTCTGTGGCTGTACCACCCCAGCACACCCAATCTCAACCGTAAATCAAATTTTCTTGCTTTAATAGCCTTCTGGGTTTTGATTGTTTTTAACATAGTAAAGAGCCAAGGGTCTTGGTGGTCTTCTGCAGCACACCTGTTTCTCTCTATGTGCTATACACGTGCACGGTATTCATCTTCTCACCTGGCTAACTTGGCTTTGCAAGTAGACTCTTCTGGCATTCAGATCTTCAAAAGGTAATGGTCTCATGTCGGAGCTTCGGTAAGGCTCACTGGTAACAACCGTCTCTTGCTGGAAAAGGTGATCTTTCACTAGGGAACGGGAAGTGTCCTCCTCCGTTGTCTGGTGAGAACAACATCCACAAAGAAAGATATTTCAGCACAATTAGTAACTCTATGCATCACCACCACCATGAAAGGCAATTCCCTGAACTCAAAGAACATGATAAGAAGGATTTAGAACACAAAGTTTATGAACAAAACGGATCTTCAAATTAAAAATAACTCAGAAAAAAATGAAAGGCTATTGCTCTGTAGAACTCTAATGATGAAACCTTTAATTCTACTGAAAGTAATAAAAACATATGAAAGATGAATAAATTAGCAGGAAAATGCAAACAAACATAACAACTTACTAATTAAAAATTAAAAAAAAAAAGTACACAGTGATCACGTTGCATGGAATATGAGCCTGAACTTGCTGATGGCTTACAGACATTTAAACAATCAATCACCACAAACTTAGGTAGGGGAATACACTCCATGAGTCATTTAAGACATCATTTCAAAATGTCACAAACAAAAAACGTCTAGAAAATGAGTGTTACGTAAGTGAAATGCAAATCCTAGGTTTTTCCATTTCTTTTCAGTGTAGATTATACTACTTGCTATTGTTTCCATTAATGTGTAACTACTTGAGAAGAGAATCTGACAGTCAAGTAGAAATAAATGAGTACTTTCACTGGCTCAAAGTATTACCCAAATTATTCTAAAAGAATTTGGAATAATCATTACAGTACTAGCAAATTTAAAGATTTAACATGTATACTCCATTTCTTAAATAAGTTTTAAAGAGTGTGTTATTGCTACTTCTAAAACAAACAAATAAATTTCAAAAACTAACTAGGATCTTTTAATTTTAGAAATAAATTCTACCTTTTCCTCTGTATCCAGATAATCTCCATTAATTTCTCTAGAACTCACTTTTCTGAATTACAAAATAACTATAATATTGAGTGATGCCATTTAGGTGAAAAGCAGTCATCACAACAGGAATCAAGCAATTAAAGTCTACAACATACAGAAGGCCCTACTGTCAAGTAAAGCCAACTACGTCAAAACCAGGTAACTCATATCGAAACCTAATTTTCCTAACAGTTAGCCCAAAATATTAAGACAATTAATGCTAAATTGTTGAAAGGAAGTTGGCTAAACACTGTTACTCCATAAATATTTTTTTAAAAAAGGGAAGAACAAAAAGAAAAAACAGAAAAGGAGGCACGTTTATCTGCTGGAGACCTTCAAAAATACACCACACACACAGATCTCCACAAACTGAATATAAGACATAGTAAAAAACAAATGGTTAACAGAAAGGACCTCAGAGATTTTGATTCACTCTTTAAGAGTATATAAAATTATATAGTATATAAACTTTAAATGATCAACTTTTTACTATAAATTTGTTATAGTATCAACCTTAGATCCAGTTGGGATACTCACAAGATAAAAACTGAAATAAGCATGAGTTGTAGCAGCAATAGTAATAAGGTAACTATACCTTTAATAACAATTTCTTTGATTGGGTTGTATTTTACTAAGGTATAGCCTAACGGAGATGTCATATAGGAATTCTACATTGAAGCTGGGTGCGTAGCTCAGGGTACTGGTATAGCTCGGGTAACACCCTGGGTTCCAACCCCAGCACTGCAAGGAAACATCAAAACTTTTCATCCAAAACAATAAGCCTTACTTAAAATAGGCATCTGAGCAAACACAAAATGGTTATATAAACCCATTATTACTGTGATGACTTGGGTAGAATTCTGTATTTCTGTTCTGTGAGTTGAGCGATTTTAAATATACTCTTAAATGGGCTGAGTGACCAAACAAGTGTTTGAAAAGTGCTAGGTATGCAATGTATAATAAAGCACATATTATTTATATGCTATGTAAATCAAACTAACATTTTGGACAATTCTGAACCAGAAGGAAAGTTTGATTATTTTTATGTTGTTAATTTCTTTCTTAAAAAATGGAATTATGCTTTCCCCTTAGTTTTGACTTACCATCATAATGTTTAAAAATATAAATATACTCTAAGTGAGCCAGTCGCTTTTTACAAAGCATAATGAATCTTTTCCCTTTCACCTGACATAATGTACTGCAATACTGTACCGCTGTGGCCTGAGATTTCCCAACTGAAGCAGAGTAACTCTTTAAGTCTATAAAATGACTCTCTCAACCCGTGAACCTTCCCAGCCACTTTCCAGTCTACTTCCTCATCTCAGTATCCACTGTATGACTGAAAGCATCCTTCATACCTATCTTACTTTAGTGTGATTCAAACTGGTCTTATTGCAGACTTTGACCCACCAATTCTCATGAAGACTTTTTGGTTTCTATCTCAAAGTCCTACTTATAGTTCCAACTACCAAGGCTATAAAAGACAGGCACACAACAGTGTGAAGAGGATGAGAAACAGAATCCCCAAAACACCCTGCTGAGGTAAGCAACTGCTGGTCCACAGAAATGCACTGGGAAAAAAAATCAACTGTTCAACAAGATTCGACTTTGCCTTATACACAAAAGAAATATACTGCATTGCACTTGATTAAGAATTTCATCCTTTAAGTTATCACAAATCAGTTTTAAATGAGTGGCTAGATGTTATCCAATAAAACAAAACCTTAACTTTAAATATATATATAGTATAATATATATTATATACGTCATATAGTAGTTAAAAAATCATGTGCTCAGATTTTGTCACCTTATAAAGTACAAAAAATATTCCATAATTCTTTCATCCTAATATAATCACAAACATTCTTGTGTAGTATTTCTAGTTCCAGTTCATTTTAGATTCGTCCACCACAATCAAGTATTCTGGTCAACAGATCTCCTCAGGTGTTTTTTTAAGATTAAGAATAAACTAATTCCCTCACATACCTCTCCCACCCCATCCCCAATTCCTTTTCTTTTTCCTTTAGACAGGGTCTCACTAAATATGTAGCCCTGGATGTTCTGAAACTCACTATGTCATTTAGGCTAGCCTTAAACTCATGAAGACCTGTCAGCCTCTTGCTATGTAGGACTCATATTAAAGGTGCGAGCCACCATGTTTCCCTTAGGTTTTGACTTCAGTACTTTCTAAGAGTTTTGTTTAGAAGCACCACTAGTATACAGTATTATATTCAAGCAAACGCAACAAGGTAATCTGGATGAAACAGTAAGGAGGAAACATAAAAATGTCAAGACAGAGTATCTGGCAAAGAAATAACAGTACAGAAAAATCTGGCTTACATAACAGAACATTCCAATGAAAAGTTAATTTGGCTTAAAGCTACTTTTAAATTTGTAGAGATTACTGGTTATGGACCTATTTTTGAGACATTAAGCAATAACTACACAGTTCTTGCTGGCTACATAACTCTTCATATGACCCTTGTTAAAAAAATATTTATTTTATTGGTTGTCTATTTGTTTTTACAATTTATTCACATATCCCGATTATAGCCCCCTCCCTCATCTCCTCCTGGTAAACCTATTTCTAAGATTCTAGCACAAGATTACACTTTACTTTGATCTGATTGAACAAAGGCTGAGAAATGACTCAGCAGCTGAGAGCATGGTTGCTCCCCTGGGTTCAATTCCAGCAACCAGTTCTGTGGCAGTTCATAACTATCTGTAAGTACAGCTATAGGGAGCTACGTCCTCACACACATGTACATTCAGGTACACCAATTCACAGGAACAAACAGATCAATCTTGAAAAACAAAAAACAAAACAAAACCTTGAACAAAAATATATGTGAACTATGAATAATAAAATGCAACCTGAAAAGCTTTAGAGAACTTTTAGAGCTACGTGACAGCAGTTCTAAACGACAGTGACGGCTGTGGGCAGTACGTGGAAGCACTTCACAGAACTAAAGGCCATACACACTCACCAAACTCTTAGAAACAAGAGCCTTATTAAAAGTAAAATCTTTCTAAATCAGCACATCAACAATTCATCTTCCACAGTCTGAAGATTATTTTAGACTTAAAAAAAAAAAAAAGAAAGAAAGAAAAAGAAAAGATTACAGTGAGTGCTTCTCAACAGTGAAAAGAGCACTTAAGACTTTTCATTTCTGACCGGTTGGATCTTTTTTCTGCCCAGAAACAAGCCACCTAAAACCTTTTCTTTGTACAATCTCAAGCCTGTAATGAGGCACATTTTGTGGTTATCTCAACTAAGGCTATCTTAATTCAAACTGCCAACGTTCCATCTTATCTGGATTAAAAGGCATTACAACTGACACTGAAACAAATACAAACCGGAAATAAAAAACAAAACAAAAATAAAGCCCCACAAAAACCTTAATTGTTTTACCAGCAAAATCTAAGAAAAGAAACCAAGTAAAAGAATGCGGTGGCTAAATTTTTTTTTTTTTAATATTCCCAACTTTAAATTTAGCATCCTTCTTTAAAAATCCTTAAGTAACAACTTTGCTTGTAATCAGGACTGTAATGGACACCAGAAGTAAAACATGAGCAAGATAGGATTTTAAACACAAATGATGAGCCTGTTCTAGAGCCATTCAAAGACAGTTGAAAAGAAAGGTAAATTCTTCCTGGTGCTTCCCAACAACTGTAAAGACAGTGAACTGCTAACACAGGAAGCAAACCATCCTGTATCTAACAATAATGGCAGAGATCTTAATATATGTTGAATAAATTAATGAATATTCAACATGGAGATCTCTGCTCTGACATTTAATCCTTTTAAGGGTTCATTTAAATTTGAGAAGTCTTTACTTCTACTAGGCTGAAGGAATTAAATAACGGGTTCTATGTTATGCTTTTAAACTATGTTCTAGTTGTCCTTACAAATGATGGTCCAGAAACAACTTGTAAAAAAAAGTAAGTAGTACATGGGCCAGTAGGACGGCTCAGTAGGCAAAGCACTTTCCACCAAGCCTGATGACAAGAGTTCAACCCCTAGAATGCACACGGCGGAAGAACTGACTGACTCCCAAAAACTGTCTCCGACTTCTACTTGTGTGCTGTCACACATGTTCCCTATCACACGTACCCCTCCCCCAAATCATTCACTCTCTGAAACTCTGGCACATCAGAGACAAAGGTTCATTGTCAGGGTATTTAAGAATTCTCCTTTGCAGCTTCAGTCCTGGACACTGACACTTAAAATAATGCTTTCTTGAGCCTGGCTCTGTGGTTCAGAGCACTGATACTGTCTGCCATTCTTCCAGAGGACCTGGCGTGAGGGCACCTATTCCAAGCACTTGCACAGAGGCTCACAACCATCTGTGATTTCGGTTCCAAGAGATCTGATCCCTCTTCTCTGGCTTCCTCAAGCATTGCATGGATGTGTTGCACAGACACATGCAAACACTCACACACATAAACTAAAGAGAAGGCCTCCCTTTCTACTCATCTTACGGAAGCTACCTTTCCTGTTCACTATGTAAGAGATTTCCAGAAAACTCAGCAGCTCAGAACAGCTTTCATGTCATAAACTGAGTTAGAAATTTGGGGACAACGTAGATGTACAAAAGTAATTTCTACAAACTTAAAACTATTAAGCCAAATTAATTTTTCACTGGAATGTTCTTCCGTTGCACAAGCCAGGACTGTGGACTTCCCGGTGTGATGGTATGTGGCTACCACCCTACCATCTGTGTGCTACTAACAATCTGCAATTCCTTCTTTTCTGTAGACTTTCTTATCTGGAAAGTAGTGTATGTGTGTATAAGGTTAATTTTGTCAATTTCCCAAGTTAGATATGGTGTGTGGTTGTTTTAGTTAAACACCATCGAAACACTGCCACAAATTATGCTTGTAAAGGAGATTTCCCTCAGTCACAGAGATAATGTCCTGAGGAGAACGGATGAGGGATCTGGAAATCCAGCTCAACCCTGCAGCATGGATTTGTCCCAGCTTCCAGCCTGCCCGCCTGTCCACTTTATGGATGGATATCAGATTTGCAACCTCCACACAAAACAGTGGTTCCGTTTATCTGGAGGACCAAGGTAAATACAGAATCTTTGAATTTGTGAATTTTACTTATAAATTCTAATGCCCTCCTGCAGAAATTAATGTTCTGAAACTCCTTTCGAGCCTAACTACTTACTTGTAAATCATCTTCTCCTCCTTCAGCCTCATTTTTTGATGCTGGGCACCCTAAGAAAAGAGGTCAAAGTTAATTAAACAAAGCATTTATACATTTTTCCATTATACTTTAGTATTAACGGTTGACTATGTCATTATAAGGATCAGAGATTGACTTCCTGATTGCCTGACAACATATTCAAATACCAGACACTTGCATTTGTTCCTCTGTTGGAATAAAAAGGTATCTCCATCATTTCACAAATTTCTGCCTACTTTATTTTAGAGCTAAACAGACTAGCTGTACTATACTTCTCTGGTTGTTTAAGTGATGTGAAAATAAGATTAATTCAACTTTTCTAAATTGTCTGACCCAGAAAACAACTGTTCAGAATAAGCATTTGGGTCGCTCAAGTAAAAAAGAAGTCAGTCTTAATTTACTATGGTCAGTCAAGACCCAAGCTTGTGCATACCAATGTCTGCACAAGCTTTTATGGTGTTGAAGAGTATCTTTAGTTACAATAAATTAATGCAAAATGATGTGTGATGGTAGAATACACTGCATTTATACTCTACACATAGCTAGCATGAAGCAGCATGAGGTGAAATGTGTCCTTTATAAAAAGTTCAGTTTATTCTGTGAGATAAAAAAAAAAAACCTAAGTGACAGAAATGTAGTAGGTCCACAGAAAGAGAGCACTGATGATGACGGTATTCAGTGTCTAACAAGACAGGCAGCAGACGACGACAGAAACCTGGGGAGGCATGTATACACTTCCTCCTTCAACATAAACTGGCACACTGTGAGCCCGGTTTACTCCACCTCAGAAAAAGAAATCTCCTCTTACAAGGGCGTAAACATATGGGCTTAAAAACCAATTCAAATTTTGAAATATATCACTTTAATTTTAGTAGCTACGAATAATAGTTTCCTCTTTAGAATCAACTGGGGAGCGTTAAAAAGCATGCCCAAGTTAATCAGCTTCAGATTCTAAAGAAACATACGTAGCATTGAGCATTTCCATGCTCATATCTGATTTTCTTATAAGAAGTTTATTTCTTCAAATTTTCCTAAAATGTCACCTTGTATCCCCTAGTTTTTGCTTGCTTGCTCCTTTACATGCTGTCTGGCTTAAATAGCCCGGATCTCAAACTCTCAATGCCCCTGCCTCAGTCCCTGAGCACTGGGCTCACAGGCATGCTTGATCACTCTGAGGGTCATCAAGTTTGATTCAGTTACTCTTGGAAAGTGTGTTCTATTATTAAAGACCTTTTAAAGGACAGCAACTATTTTTAGTCCAAGTTTAAGAAAGAGACTATCTACATTTATACAATATATGAATATTCAGAAAATAATCAAAAAGCCTACCTTGAGAAATATCCTCTATAGCTCTTCGAATGCCTCGATCAAAAGCCCTGGCATCAGCAGGACTCTGAAAGGTAAGGCCAAACTTCTTGTCGTCAATCTTCCAGTGGTGAAACGTGGGAGTGACCTTATTATAGATGAGGTCTTTTTTAAGCATACATTCCAAAACCACCTGCAAAAAGTCAGGTGCCAAAGTTAATGAACATAAAAAATACATCTATTGTAGCTCTTACACAAACACTGAGGACTATAAATATAAAGAATAGTTTTAAATAAATTGAGGTCTTGATTGTAATCTTCACAAAGTCAACTTGATAAAGGGACTAAGAGGCAATCAAAAAGACCTACAAGCTGTGAAAAGAATGTGGGTTATACTATAATTTGAAAGGGTAAACAAAGTGCTGCAGAAAATTTCCAGAAGAATATGCTTCTTTTGAGAAGGCTCGGGAAATAGACATGAGAGGTTACAGTAACAATTTAACCCCCGCCCCTTTTTCTTGTGGTTATGGTGCTCTAACCAAGCACCTTACACATGCTAGACAAGTACTCTACCATTAATTACGTTTTCCAGCCCTTTCCTTCCTAATTTCTTAAGACTCACTAGAGAAGCAGATCAGGTGTCTACTTGTCATTTTAGTAGCTGGGTTATAAAACTTTTTTTTTCCTTTGAGATGAGATCTCGCGGAGTAGGCTCTGACTGTCCTGAAACTTCCTAGGTAGATAAGGATGGTCTCACAGACTCTGCCTCCTAAATTCTGGGATTAAAGGCATGTGCCACCATGCAGGGCTCTGGTTATTTAACTTTTCAAAGCTCTGGCTTCCTCATTTAGAAAATGCAATAGTAATATTAAACCCATCTTATAATGAATGGGTAGTAGTTTCATGTAATTTGTGGGACAATACAGCTTTGCTTCATTTTTTTTTAACCCCCTGAAGTAGTTTCAGGGAAGTAAAAATAATAGGTAAAAGTCCCTTCTCCCTTTTTCTTAAGTTATCTATTCTTAACATCCTCTCTATACGTTCTAATGTACACAACTTTTGTTTTATTTCATCTGTTCGTCTATTATTGCAGTGCTAGGAATTGCATTTATGGCCTCACATGCTATGCGAGAAGTCTACCACTGAGCTACGCTCCTAGCCCAACATTTTTGTTTATTTTGTTCTGAACTGTACCAAGGAGGTTATTACTTAATGTCTCTTTAATACTTTCTAGAGGCAATGTAACATCGTAATCAAATTAGATAATAACTGTAATCAAACTCGGTTTTTCGTTCTTCCTGTCTTCAAACAATCCGGTTCAATTACACTAAAAAAAAAAAAACCACTCAAAACTCACCCTTTCTGATTATTGCTTCACTTCACGTCATGTGTGTTCTCAGGGCAGTCCCTGCCCTGCTCTGCCTGTCTAAATGTTGGAGATTGCGCAGGGGGCACTCCTCACTTTTTTCATATATTATATTCAAAGACACTGTTTTGACTGAAATCAGACGAGGCAGAAGTATGCAAATGTTATTAATCATTGCCTCTGTCCCATCATGAAAAGAAATTATTAAATCTTTATCATCAAACCAGGACTAAATTAGCTCTAGGTTTCTGCTTCTGATGACTATCTTTATGAAAAAGAATGGACATCTTTCTAAGAATTTTTTTTTTAAATTTAGTCCTTTGCTAAAGGTATTCTATGCTAATTTACTATTTGTTATACAACTATTTTTTTTTTTTTTTTGGTCAGAAATAGAAATAGAAAAAGAACCAAATTACGTTCTAAAACTCAAGAAGACACTACTGATGATAATTACTACAATACTTGTACTGTAACTTATTCATAAACTTAGGAAATGCAGTATTTTAGAAAATGCTGAACTGGATTGTTTGAAAACAGGAAGAACAAAAACAGAATTTGATTCCAGTTATTATCTAACATGTGGCTAAATCTTCATTTAATGTCTGAAAATACTACTGAAATAGCTCTTCTGTTAAGTGCTCCAAAATTAGTACTTTCCAATTATGTCCTCTTAGGTAAAATTACAGTGTAATCTATATTACTGTCCACCACTAGTTTTCAAACGGTATCTTTTCAGAGATTCACAAAAAAGAAAAAGTTTTAAAAGATGAACTTGAAAGTATACTGAAGAATGGAATGGATAATAATGATGCAGTTTTTGAACTCACATAAAATGCTTATAGAAGAGAGTCTACCCAGAACCACGCAAACACTGAGTTCATGCAATATACCAACAGGTAAAAAGGCAACATACCAACTGATTATCAATCAGAACTCAATTTGTTTTTTGTTAATGTTTAGCTACATATTAGAAATTACCTTGCTGATACCGCACAGAAAGCTGCCCTTTAGAAAAGGACTATTATTGTGGTAGCTAATGGGAGTTTAAGAGCAGTCAATGGATGGGAAAGTTACTCATTTACTACCACTACCACCCACCAAAAACTCCAGTGATAATCTTCAGTGGATGCCCTGAGGTCATTTTTTTTAATCAAACAACAGTTACAAAAGTCTCAGACTCCATGTCTGAATTACAACAATTTTATTCCCATTTAAATGACATAATAAATTACAAAGATGCTTTATATTTACTCAAAGTAACTAACAGAGAGAGAGAGAGAGAAGGTGGGAGAAAAGAAGAATAATTGTGAGGGGGAGAACTCACAATTATTTGTTTCTTTGTAAGAGAAGACTGTATACAGTTTTTTTTAAAAAAAAAACTATCCTAGACACAACTGCCACACATCATTAAAAATATTTTTAAAACCATAAATAGTGCAATTTGCTTATCAATTTGCCAATCAAAAATGTGGTTATAGCTTAAAATGCAGGGTCTGGAGGTGGTTCAGTTGGTAAACATGTTTACGGTACAAGTGAGGACGTGAGCTGAATATCTCCAGAAGCCGTGTAAGATGAGCACGGCAGTGCACATCTGGGTCCTAATGCACCTACTGTGCGCTAGGACCCAGAGGCAAGAGAGTACCTGCAAGCTCTCAGGCTGGCAAGCAGAATATATTTAATGGCAAAACTAGTCAGAGAACTTGTCTAAATAAGATGAAAGTCCAAGAGAATGTTGTCTGACCTCTAAAATAGGTCTTGAGATGTGTGCCTTTACACACACACACCACAGACAGACAGACAAAGTCACAGGCACAGACAGACAGACACCGTATGCTTCAAATGTAACTCCACCTGCTTTCAATTAAAAACCTATTTTTTTTTTCTCAGATTAAGTAGTTTGGGAAGATGGGTGAACTTCTGCTGCTCTCCACAGTATTCTCCACGAACATTAATAAGTTAGTGAGACCTCAACACAGCCATACAGTCGCACCCCAAAAAAACTTAATAAATAATAAAAAGCTATTAAACCAATGAAAATAACTATAAAGAAATACTTACAATACATGTGTGACTGACCTATTTATAATATGGCTGGTTAACAAAGAATAAATCAAAATGCCTCGTTTTAAAATCACATTACTGTTTTTTTGAACTCTTGATCATTAGCAAGAATATTTCACGTTAGAAAATTAAAATGTATTATTACTATTCTTCTGTTAAAGTTAAAGAGATGTTAATTGTTAAAACTATTGAACTCTGGAATAAAGAATATCCTACTACCATTAATTTATTAAAATTCAACATTAAAGGAAAAGAGGAAAAACGAGGTCTCTGTGTTATCACACAGAGTTAGAAGAAAGTGGGGAAAGGATGGCGTATTAGCTAATTTTCTCGTTGTGACAAAATGCCTGAGAAAGTTAACTAAAAGGGAGGGGGGTTACTCAGTCTGAGGAAAGGCAGGGTGACAGCAGCATGAGGCAGCTGGTCAAACATACTGATTCCACAGCCAGGAAGGAAATAAAAATGAATACTGGAGCTATATGATCCTTTTGTATTCAGTATAGGTCCAGAGCCTACAGGATGGTTTAGCACGCATTCTGGGTTTACTTTTCCTACTCCTCAATTAAATTCATCCTAAGTACAATTCCTCAAAGTCCCAGAAGCGTGTTTCCTTGTGACTCCAAACCAGGTTGACAACAGTGATTATTCATCACATAAAGTTAATGAGCATGAATTTTTTTTTGTAAAGTGTCCAAAGTAACAATGTTGAGTTGTAAAACAACAACAACAAAAACCAAACAGAACAAACCAGAAGCATAACATTCACACATCCAAAACCAAAAAAGATGAGGAAGAATTTTGGTACAGTATCTTGTTAGGCTGGTGGGCCTTGTACTCAAAACCAGTTGGATCCCATCCCATCTCTACCACTTACTGTCCAGCTGACTTTGAGGTACTGAGGTAACATAGAAGAAATCAGAGTAGTACTAAACTAATGTTGACTGTCCATTTTATAGAATATAGAGTCACATGGGAAACAGGCCCTGAGCATGCTTGTGGAGAATTTTATCTATTTGTTTGTTTGTTTGTTTATTCCAGAGCTAAGGACCGAACCCAGGGCCTCTAGCAAGCACTCTACAGCACTCTACCACTAAGCTGAATCCCCAGCCCTGTGAAGAATTTTCCTGATGACAGTAATTGTGTGAGATCTATTCCAACTGTGGATGGGACCATGCTCTAGGCAGGGATCTTGGATCATATTAAAATGGATAAAGTAAGCAGAGAACTAGGAAGCATTCACTGATTTCTGTTTCTTAAACTGTGAGAAAATAGATTCACAGTAGGAATGGTAAAGTCAATTTGGACAAGACCATTAAAGTTTCATCTGCCACCTACACATGGAAATGAATGCATGAAAGATGGTCTTTAAGATGTATGACATTTAAATAGATTTACTCACAACAAAAAATATATCTGACAAGAATCATACAGACTGCACTCTCAAGAAAATAACCCAGTTCTTTAGTGAATTAAACACCTATTTCTAAATGCTTAATGAATCAAGGAAATCATGAGAATCAGGCAACTCTAAGAGTCAAAAAGGAAATAGCTACACATAAGAGTGTAGGGCAGTGCACAAGGGAATTCATGTTCTGCATACAAAGAGGCCTAGCTTTCAAGAAAACCAAAGTGGGGGCTGGGAGCCTATGGAGGGCAACCAAGGCAGAATTTTAAAATGTGTAACATAAAAATTTTGCAGATAAGGAAATCAGAAAACAAAAGAACTTAATGTCAAATGTACAAAATAAATAAAGCTTTTTTTTTTT